CGAGATCTGAGCTCTCCAGCAGCATGTCAAAAACAGAGGGAGGACAGCGGTGGTGGCGACACGCACTGAGATATTCTCACACACACACACACACACACACACACACACACACACACACACACACGCAATATGAACGCCATACCTCCACGTTTTCATATTCTTGTGTGTGCACGTTGTCCACAACTACCACACGCACCTTTGACACGTTGATCATCCCCAATTGCTCCTCACCACCACTTCTCACCACTTTTCACCACTTCTCACCACGACCACGACCACCACGACACCACAATGACAATGCAAACGACGATGCTGCGTTAGGCGGGTACACGACGGGCCCTCAGGAAGTGATTGATCTTCTGCGCAACAAGGCCCGCCCCTACCTCTTCTCAAACACTCTCCCGCCAGCCGTTGTCGGCGCTACCACAAAGGTGCTCCTCTGCACCGTGCTCTTGTGTGTGTTCGTGTGTGTGTGTGATCATGTGTGTGTATTCGCGTGTTAGATCATGTAGTCATATGGTGTGTGTGTGTGTGTGCGTGTGTGTGTGTGTGTGTGTGTGTGTGTGTGTGTGTGGTCTTGCGCCAACAACTCACTGCCATGTCGCCACCACCGCTGTCCTCCCATCAGGTGTTTGACATGCTGCTGGAGAGCTCAGATCTCGTTGAGAAGGTGCGCAATGCAACTCGTGCTCGCGGCACGAAGACTGCCCTCTCCACACGCGTGACAGGATGGTGCCACTCCCATACGCGCACACCGCACAGACACGAAGCGCACACACTCTTTGCTTTTCTTGGACAACCTCACGCTACAAGTTCCTTGTCCATCCCCTCATCATTTCACCACTGTCACCGTCACCACCACCGCCACCATCATCACACCGCCCTGCAGGTCCAGTCCAACACGCAGCTGTTCCGCACGAAGATGGCTGATGCCGGGTTCACCGTTGGCGGCGACCCAGAGCACCCCATCTGCCCCATCATGCTCGGTGAGGGAGGCATAGCGCGTTCAGATTTGGTTTTTTGTGTGTGTGTTTTGATTTGATTCGATGTTGCGTGTCCTCGCAATCACCGTCATTGTCGTCCTTTTCGTGTCCGTTCATGGCGCTCGCTTCCTTCAACAGCGCATGCTCTCAAACTGCCCGTGTGCACACCGACTCACCCATGTGTGTGTGTGTGAATGTGTGTGTGTGTGTGTATGCGTGCAGGCGAGGCGCGTCTTGCTGCGCAGTTTGCTGACGACATGCTGGAGCGCGGTGTCTTTGTCATCGGCTTCAGCTACCCGGTATGTGCACTTGCCCCCCCCCCCAGCATGGTGCCTTGCTCATGTGTGATGTGATGCAATGCAGTCGCGGTGATCAGCAAGTTCTGGGACGGTCGGTGGTTGGTGATGTATTCTTCCTTGTTTGTGGTCCCCCTCTCATGTGCACACACACACACACACACACACACACACACACACACACACACACACACACACACACACACACACACTCTCTCTCTCTCTCTCTCTCTCTCTCACTCACTCACTCTCTCTCTCACACACACAATCACAACCACAACCACGTACGTGTGGTGTTACAGGTTGTGCCCAAGGGCAAGGCGCGCATTCGCGTGCAAATCTCGGCCGCGCACACGGAGGAAGAGATTCTGCACACCGTCGACGCATTCACACAGGTTGCAAAGGCCCGCGGCGTCCTTTAAGCGCAACACCGCACACGCGCACATTGTGGCTTCGTTCTTATTCTTCGCGCTGTTGTCACATCAATGCCTTTTTGTGCGTGCGCGACTTCCTCCAACCCATCCCCTCCAAACAATACAGTGGTTGGTTGCATGGGCTCATGCCTTGAGTGGGTCGTAAGTGGGTGTTTCATTGGGTTGTGACATTGAGATTGTGGTTGGGAGGAAACTGGTGCTACCCATCAAGCGAGCAAAAGAATCTCAACAGACACACACACATACACACACGCAACGATATGCGCGGTGGAGGACAGTGATGTTCAACGTGCAACACACAAACAGCAACGAGGGAAGAGGAAAGGAGGGAAACAGGCAGCGCCATTGTTGACAGCTACAGCGCCACCAAACACAGGGCACTCCGCAACACAACCGTGCCGTGGTGCGTCGTTATTTCTTGTCAATGTGGGCGACAACAAAGGGGGTGTCGACGTCCTCGCCCGTGTCCGGATCTTCGGCCATGACGTCCAGCACAAACCGCCGCACATGCTCGCCCAGCGGCTGCTTCGACGCCTCCTCAACAAGCTCCTTCAGCCTGCAGCAGGTGGCGAGGGAATGGTCGTTAGAGTGGTGATGATGATGATGATGATGATGATGATGATGGTGATGATGATGATGATGATGATGATGATGATGATGATACGTGAGCGATTGCGCCTGAAGCAATAGAACAAGCACAGCAGTAGTAGCAGGCCTCGTTCTCCCTCTCCCTCGCCTCCTTGCGTAAGCGTGTATAATTAGTAGGCTGCACGTACGTGAGGCCGAGGCGGTGCTCGCGCTTCTGGGCGGACATCATGAATCCAGAGTACAGCATGGACACGCCGCACGACATCATGCCAACCTCAAGCCCGTGCTCGCTCTGGTCATGGGGAGGGAGGGAGCAGTGGGGGTGGTTGTTGTTGCAGGTGTGAGTGCGAAGAAAGATGTAAAGGGAAGAAAGGAAAAGGGAAGAAAGAAGACTTCACGAGCGGCGCACAGCGCCAACAAACCCATTAACCACACAAATACACACACAGACACAGACACACAGACACACAGACACACAAACGTAACCGACCTCGAAGCTTTCGATAAACTGCTTGAGCGTCTGGTTTGCGTCGACGTCGAAGCGATCCCAAAGCGTAAACTCCTTGCCCTTGTACTGACGATGTCACAAGCAAGTGGCAGAAGAAGAATGATGAGAGGAAGAAGATGCACGAGGACGAAGAACAAGAGAACAACCACAGCAACAGGGGACGCGTGAGAAGAAGCGAACAGGATTGCAGTAGCACGTGTAAGCTAAGGCTAGACAAGGCAATCAGCCGCACAATTGAACAAACGAATACACCAGCGCGTACCTCCTTCTTGGGGCAAGGCATGGGCTCGGAGAAGGCGAAGAACGGGAGGGCGAGGTTGACAAAGCCATTCTTGTACGTTTCCTTCTTCTTTGCGCCATTGATAATCTGCACATGGGCGCACACACACGCGCACACAAAGCACAAAAACACACGAGGGACATAATATGAAATCGAACGTGTTGCCCAATCATCGTGAGCTGACAAGAGCACAAATCAAAGCATCACCACCAACCGATTTCAAAACACGGCAACAACCCATTGCAACGCAGTACGAATGCAATACTTATTTCATACGCGTGCGTGTGCGTGTGTGTGTGTGTGTGTGTGTGTGTGTGTGTGTGTGTGTGTGTGTGTGTGTGTGTGTGTGTGTGTGTGTGCACCTTGCAGAGCTCGAGGCCGACGAGACCGGAGACGACGGCGGTGGTGGTGGCAATGGCAGGGATGATGCGCCCAGCAATGCCCTTGGACTGCACGAGCAGTGAAAGAAGGGGGGGGGGGGAATGAGAAAACCAAGCAAGGACTGCTTTGAGCCCTACTTGACACATAAACAGCCGCGCGCGCACACACACACACACACACACGCACGCACGCACACACACACCTTGTGCTTGTCTGCGGGCTCAATCTTGTAGTTGGTGGCGCGGAGGTTTGAGGCGGCGGTGACAAAGTCCATGTGGAAGTTTGAGTCGTCGTCCTTCTCAAAGTCCTGCTCGTTGACGCAGTAGCCGGCGAGGTTGCTTGGCGGCGGCAGCGACGCGGCAATGGTCCGCAGCTCCTCCGTGTCAGACACGGGCGTCTGGTTCTGGTTCTGCGCAGCCTTCTCGTCAGTCTCAATCTTCACGCCTGAGGTAGAAGGTACCGATTGGGCGATGGTCGTGAGCAGGTGCACAACCGCACATGCACCGCGTAGACGCGTTCACACGCGCGCACAAAAGCACACGCAAGTACAAAAGCACATACACGCACACAAGTGCCCACGCGGGCAAGTGCACACACACACACATACAAGTACAAACACACAGACACGCGCACACACACGCACACACACATACACACACGCACACACACAGCCTTAAGTGCGTGCTGATTGCGGGACACGAACCTTCCTTTGGGACGAATGGGGGCACGGAGATGGTTGAGAGGACGTTCTTGAAGGTGGCGACGTCGCGCGTGCCCTTGAGACCAAACACGTTCGCCCGCAGGTTGGCTGCAGCAATCACAAAGTCGAGATGCAGCGGCTACAATGCAGCAGGGCAGGGGCATAACGCAAAGCAAGGGAGGATGAAGAGGAGGGAGATGAGTGTCAGGTTGAACGCAGCGGCAGCGGTTTTAAAGTTGCAAGCAACGCCGCAGACACCGTTTCGCATACAACACACACACACACACACGACACACACACACACACACACACACAGAACACACACACACAGAACACACACACACACACACACACACACACACACACACACACACAAACACAGCACAACAAATACGGCGCATGGGCGTACGTTCTCGGGGTCAAACTCGTGCGGGGAGGGGCAGCGCTTGGTGCCGGACCAGAATGGGACGCCCTCCGAGGTGAGGCGGTCTGGCGGGAAGTTGTGCAGCAGCTGCATAATGGAGTCGCGGTACAGCTTCGTAAACTTCTGCACAGCCCACGTGATGCAGTCGTCAAAGGACAGCGGCTTGTGCGTGACGAGTGACTCCTTGAGAGACTCGAGCGTCTCCAGAGGTTCAGAGCCGGGCTTCTTCATGACGTTCTCCAGGTAGTCGCTCTGGCGGAGGTACATGTTGACGTTCTCGGGCGTCTGCTTGAACATGACCTCAAACAGGTCGCGAGCCCACTGCAGCGTGTGCTCAATCTTGTACGGGAAGCTCTTCAGCGTGCACAGCGGAATCGACTTCTCAGGAGGATCTGTGTGTGTGTGTGTGTGTGTGTGTGTGTGTGTGTGTGTGTGTGTGTGTGTGTGTGTGTGTGTGTGTGTGTGTATGCGTGTGTGTGTGTGTGTGGTGATACGGAGAACGAACAAATTCGTGTAGTGTGAGAGAGAGAGAGTGTGTGTGTGGTTGAGGTTGAGGTTGCGCACACAAGAGCACAGGACCACGCATTCCTCTCACACAGGCTGTGCATTCATGCATGCGTGCGTGCGTACGCGTGTATTGCACACCTTGGGAGGAGGAGTACGACTCTGTGAGGTGCGGGATGACAACCTGGGTGTTGCCCTTGGTGCCGAGCGTGCCAGACTCAAGCAGCGGCTTCTCGTAGAACACACACCGCGAGTCCATGTACTGGCCTGCACAACACACAGATGCCAAGCAGCACGCAATCAGGGTAGCGAGGCAGCATGAGTGACAGAGCACGCAAAGAAAGAGAAAGAGAGGCAGAGACAGAGACAGAGAGAGAGACACACACACAGACAGAGGGAGAGAGAGAGAGAGACAGAGAGAGAGAGAGAGAGAGAAAGACAGAGAGAAAGACATATACACAGAGAGAGAGAGAGAGAGAGAGAAAGACAGAGAGAAAGACACATACACAGAGAGAGAGAGAGAGAGAGCGAAACCACCACGCCAATGCGGTAGCGGTTGCTGCACAAGAGACGCGAGGGAGGGGGCGATGCTGCTGTTTACTGGGTCGATATTGCTGCAACTTACGTGCTTCGACGTTATCGAGCGCATTGGCGACGCCGTCCAGGCTCTCAAAGAACTCGTCGTTGTACAGCGCTGTGTGCACCCCACCCGGCACAGCAACACAAAACATGGTCAGCGATGACGAGGAATCAAAGTGTGGCCCGCCACAGCGCGCAAAAACAAACTACAAAACAACATTCAAACAAACACACAGCACTCACGCAGGCAGCGTTCGCACCTTCGGTGTCGGGGCCAACTTTGTTGGCGTGTGCAACGACGTTGAGCTCGGGGTTCATGGCCTTGGCGGCCGCAGCTGCGACGTCAGACTTGAGTTTCTGTTGTGTTTCGAGAGAACAAGTGGAGAGAGAGGTGGTCAAGGGTGAGATGATGGTATGCGCGAGTCGACCAAGCAGCGTCAAAGCCAATAGCACCGGGCCTAGTTTGTGTCTGTGCCTGGCAACGAACACACACACACACACACACACACACACAGACAGACACACAGACACACACACATGCAAGGGCGCGAGTGCGAAACAACGTACGGTGACGTCCCAGGGGCGGAAGAGGAACTGGCGGTTGAGGTTGGACTTCTCAATTGTGTCCATGTCCGTCACAATCAGCTGTCGCGGTACAGACCGTGTCGAAACACGAAGAGGAGACAGGCATTGGCGGAAGATGAGTGGGGTGAGGTGACGCCTCGATATGATTGCAAGTCAACAACAAACACAGCATCGAGTATCCAACACGCACACACACGCACGTCAACACACACACACACGTCAACACACACACACGCACACACGCGCGCACACACGCGCGCACGCGCGCACGCACGTCAATACACACACACATGCATGCACACAGATAGATAAAGCCCTGACACACACTCTTTGCTGCGTACCTTTCCTTCCTCACTTGCGCTGAGGCCAAGCATGGCAAAGACCTTGAGGAGCTCGCAGCCGATGGCGCCCGCACCAACAAGGAACCACTTCTGCTGCTTCAGCTTCTTCAAAAACGTCTGCCCAAACGTGGCAATCAGCCCGTCGTACCGCGTGCCAGTCTGTTCGTGTGCAGGACATGGGTTTGTATTGCTGGGCATGAGTGTGTGCATGTGCGTGTGCATGTGTGCATGCAAGCACGCGTGGTTGCAAAGAGCTCTGCAGTGCAAGGCCCTCGACCACGATCACAAGGGCCACTGCGTGCTCACCGGGTCGAGGTCCGTTGGGTCGCCCTCCTCCGGCAGACACTCGAGGCTGTCAAAGTAAAAGTGCTGGCGGATGGGCATGAACTTGCCGCTGCACGCCTGGAACCCGTTTGCAACATGGCATCGTGTGTTGAAACGGGAGGGAAGGCGGGGATTAATTTGATGCACTTGCTTGGGTCTCCAAGTTGAGCAACAACCACAACGCTAACGTGCACACCCAACAACACAAGCACAAGCACAAGCACAAGCACAAGCACAAGTACAAGCACAAGTACAAGCACAAGCACAAGCACACATACGCACCTTCATGACTTCCTGGGCGGCAATGCCGCCGATGACGGTGTCCATTGGGGAGACGCTGCCGGTGGCCTGCGACGCAAACAGCCGCAGCACCCGCTCGTCCACCTCCGCCTTGGACTCGCGCTTGCTGTTCATGTCGTTGAAAAGCGCCATGAACTTGTCCCCGTCACCGCTGCTGCCGGCCTGCGGGAGGCGGCCCTCCTGCTTGCGGAACGCATCCAGTGCCTGCATGCATATACATGCGTGCATATACATGTGTGTGTGTGTGTGTGTGTGTGTGTGTGTGTGTGTGTGTGTGTGTGTGTGTGTGTGTGTGTGTGTGTGTGTGTGTGTGGCAATGAGGGGCGCATTCACACCAAGATGCAGCAAGACCCGCACGCATCAAACAATACGCTTTCACACAGCACGCAGCATACACCAAGAACACGAATCACGCAGCCAACACCAAGCACATATCAGTCATGCAGTGCCCAGACCTGGAAGGCGACATGGAGCATCAGCGGGCGGTCAAACTTGGCAAAGTCGGAGAGGAGAAACTCCGGGTTCTTCAGACTCTCTTCCAGGGAGCTCTGCACAGCACACATATTCGTGCATGCAAGCAAACAAGTGGCGCGGCACGAGTGAGCACGCATGGTGCGGTCGGAGGAAACAACAGTGGAAGGCACTGTGTGCAAAACACATTCGCACACACAAGCAACAGACAGGGTCGCACACACACACACACACACACACACACACACACACACACAAACAAACAAACAACACACATACACACACACGCACGCACACACACACACACACATACACGCGAACAAGCATGCATGTGTGTTGTTTCGGTGGGGGCCACTTACGAAGGTGACGGTGGTCGGCTGCTTGACCTGCGTGGCCACACCGCCACGGACGTACTCGGACATGTTGGTGGTGTCGCCGATGGAGAAGGTAAACGGGCCCTTGACGGTGATCTTGCGCGGCTTCCCGTCGTTCAGCTCCGTCATGCCCTGCACCTCGGAGAACACAACGTAGTCGCCGTCCTCAAACCCGTGGCGGCCCTCGTCGTGGCACGTGACAATGCCGTCCTTGTCGCGGGAGATGGAGGCAAGCATCACGCTCGCGGGCTCCTCGCCATTGGCATCCGTAACCACAAACGACGGGCCAAAGTCGCAAAACACTTGCCTGTACACCACAGAAAGGGCGAGGGCGAAACACGTTGAAGCAAAACAACAAACAGGAGCAAGACACAAAACCAAGGCAAGTTGCTGACAAGGTGAGACACAACTAGGGGACTGGGCCAAGTGTCTTTGCAAGCAGACTTTGCGACCACTGCAAAAGAGTCAGTCACAAAAAAAGCAGCAGCAGTAGCAGTAGCAGCAGCAGCAGCAGCAGCAGTGATCACAGTGCACTGTTGACTGTCTTGCTTTGTCTCCACCCTGTTCCTCTGACACTGCTTTTGTCGCATCAACAACACGCACGAGCGCACGCACGCACCCGAAGAGGCCACGGGTCTCGGCGACGACGACGGCCTTCTTGGAGGCGCGGGCGGCGGCGTCGATGCGGAGCTGCTCGTCCAGCGTGCTGGCAGTGAGCACAATCACGGAGAAGGGCTTGATGGCCTCCTCTGTCAGCTCGCCTGTCAGCACCTTGACAGGCACGTACGGGTTGAGCTCGCCGAGGCGGTCTGCGGTCACGGCCGCGCGGTTCTTGCCCACATCGGCCTCGCGCAAGAAGAACTGCAAGAGAGAGAAAAGGGGGGGGGGGGGCAGGGCGCAAGAGGCAAGCAGGCAACCACAAGTGTCAACGTGCGAGTTTGTCAGCCACAAACAATGCATCTCATGACTTGGGTTCTCATTCTGGTGGTGGTTTCACGGCTTTGCGCGTCGACAAGGAAACGGCAGTCGACAGCAGAGGGCGAGAGCGGATGAGAAGCGACACCACGAACCTGGCTGGAAAGGTCGCGCAACGACACGGGGTTCTCGTCGTGGATGGTGACGGACTTGACACCGCCAAGCACGACGTTCTTGGCTGCGAGTGGTGCAAGCGTGCGCGGTGAGTTTGGTGGTTGGTGTGGGGCGAGACAGGAGAAGGGAGAAGCGAGAAGGGAGAAGCGAGAAGCGAGAAGGGAGAAGGGAGAAGCGAGAAGCGAGAAGGGAGACAGGAGACAGAAGAAGGGAGACAGGAGACAGAAGAAGGGAGAAGGGAGACAGGAGAAGTGAGAAGTGAGAGGTGAGAGGGTCGACAGACATGCGCATACACAATCCTACACAATCCTACACACACACACACACGCACACACACACACACATACACACACACACACACAATCACGCGCACACACACTCGCTCTTCTCACCAATTTCGACGCCAACGCCGTTCATGCCAGAGATGAGGACATGAGCGGCTTGCATCTTGCGCATGGCCTCATGACCGAGGACATAGAGCTGACGCGAATACAGGCCCTCATCAATTTCGCCATGCTGCTGCTGCTGCTGCTTCTGTTCACTCATGATGGCAGTGGTTGCCTGACGAGAGTGGAACCGAGAAAGAAGAGAAAGACTGTTGCTTTGCTTGTTGAGCTTGGGTTGCTTGGTTTGCTCGCTTGCTGTTGCTGTTGAATCGTACACGCTGGCTGGGTGTCTCACGTCGAAGCACGAAGCAGACACACGTTGTCGACACAACCAAGACAAGAAGGAAGGAGAGAACGTTGCTGGCTGGTGTGATGTGTGTGAATGACGAGTTGCGACACAGCAGCACCAAGACGCCAAGGCAAAACGAACATGGCAAGAATTCTGTTGGGAATGTTTCGCGAATCTTCCACAATGTCAGCAATTTTATTTGTGGTGTTGTGTGCTGACATGGACGACGGCAACTGGGAAGCGGTGCCTGCACGGCACACCAAGAAGCAAAAGCGAAAGCAGAGGAGAAAGGAGCGGGCGAAGGCGACGCCTGATGAAGACGTAAGGCAGGGAGAGCGCACAGAAGCAACCTGTGGGGATGGAAAGTCTCCTGTGAGACGGAAAGGGGAGCAAAGCACGAGGCACAAACGAGAAGGAGGGAAGTCCAAGTCTCCCAACAGAATCGAGGGGGCACCAGCGCCAGTGCAAGCGCGAGAGAAGGGAAGCAAGAATAAGAAAACTGTAGGCAGCACGGAAACAGCCCAAGACAGCGCTCCTGTGGCGCACAAAGTCGTAGACAGCAGTGGACAGGCCACAAAGGCCACGGTCAGGGGCGGGAAAGGAAGTTTGGGTGCATGCAAGCACGTCAAAGTGGTGGCAGCGGAGATGCAGGCCTTGAATGCGGTGTTGGCAGAGCTGGACGAGGAGGAATCCCTGCTGTGCGGAACAATGCAGCGCTTCTCCGCACTGCACGCGCACCAGCTCCACATCCAAGAGGACCTCCAAGAAGACTTTGCACAGCTTCCAACCATTTCCCAAGAATTCGTGCGCATCCCAAACAGGTGAAGCGAGGGCTTGAGGGTTTTGTGTGCGCTGCCTAGCTGTCTGCTTGTCATTGGGTTCTTCTGATGGTTGTACTGTCTTCTCTTGTGACATGATAAATTATTGCAGTTTGCCACGCTCACATGGGACATGTTGCCAATCGCCTGGCTCCACCCCCTTCCTCCTTCTGCTTCCTCTTCTTCCAACCCATCCCACCTTTTGATTTTGTGCAGGTGCATGGGCGTGCTGTGCGGGAGGAACATGCGAAAAGTGAAAGAGTTGTCGCAGGAGCACGACTGTCAGATTGTGGTGCCACCGCGAGCAGAGGATCCAGAGGGCGTGGCGCTGGTCACGCTCGTGGGAACGTCTGCGGCCACGCAGGCTTGCTCAACTGCCATTGACAAAATGGTGCAGAAGTACCTGTCACGCGAGCGCAGACGGCAGCGAAGGCATGAGCAGCAGCAGAAGCAACAGGAGCAGCACGGCTCTGGGAGAGAAGGTGGGAGCGCCAACAGCGGTCATCGGCAGCTGCCAAGCAGACGCGGTGCCATCTATCACTGCTTCATCGACTATTCCAACATCATGGCGGGCGCAAAGGCGGCGACGCTGGCAGCGCAAGCAGGCGGGCATGAGGTGCGAGACGCTGACGTGCACATTCGCAGCGACCACTTGCTTGATCTCCTGACGAACAGCAGGCAATGCGGGCAATGTGAGCTCATTGGCACACACATTCCTCGCCTCGTCCAAGCAGAAGCAACGTGGGTCACCAAATCAAGCGAGTGCGTGTGCGTGAGTAATAGTGTGTGTGTGTGTGTGTGTGTGGGTGGGTGGGTGTTTGTGAGTGAATGAGTGAGTGCTTGAGTGAGTGTGAGGGTGTTTGTGAGTGAGTAAGTGAATGAGTGAGTGAGTGAGTGGGTGAGTGAGCGTGTCTGTGTGTGTTTTGCAAGTGTCTTCACGTGTGGCTGTCGTTCTGGGCTGAGTGGGTGAGCAAGTGAGTGAGTGAGTGAGTGGGTGAGTGAGCGTGTCTGTGTGTGTTTTGCAAGTGTCTTCACGTGTGGCTGTCGTTCTGGGCGGACATCGCCTGCAATGTCTACTTGCGCGTGTTAACGTTTTACGCGGTGTCAATGCAGGTCGCGTGGGTTTGTTGTGCGGAGCTTTGATCGCCACACGTCAGAGGTGGGCTGTACAGCGATGTTCGTGATGAGAATCACCGCCATCATTGTGACATGCAGTTCCGTGGCGTGTGTCATGCTGCACCTGGCACCGTTTGTTGCGCCAATTTCCTCTCATCGACGCACAACTTGATACAGGTCTTGGTGGATGACAAGATGCATGCGCAGGTGTTGCAGTGCCTGTTGCAAGTGCGCCATAGCAAGCACGGCCGCAGTACCAGCCCACAAGCTCGCTTCACCGCAAACGAAGATGCGATATCTGTGCATAGCGAGTTCTCTCAGGCCGAGGGCGCAAACCACGTGCTCACACTTGTGACCGGTGATGGCAACGACAACTCTGGCAACAACAGCACATCCTTCTTCAAGGTTCGACATGTGTGTGTGTGTGTGTGTGCCCCACCTTAGGTTGATGGGCGCATTCTGTCACTGTCTGCGTCGCTTTGTGTTGCGTGTTGCGTCTGGTGCTTGCATCTTTGTCGTCACTTTGAGCCTGATGCGCACCCAACATCCAACACCCAACTTCCATCATGCACGCGTGTCGTGGTTGGTTGTGGTTCAGTGCGCCGTGCTTGCGCTGGAGGAAGGGTGGGGCGTGGAAGTCGTGAGCTGGCAGAGCAACCTCAGCGACAACTTTGTCACCTTGAAACACAAGTACCCCTCTCAGGTGCGTAGGCGTGTGTATGCGTGTGCATGTATGTGTGAGTGAATGTGCGGGGGGGGGGGGTGTTGTACCTCTCTCTCTCTCTCTCTGTGCCTTGTACGTGCGCTTTCACGCGTGCATGCAGGCATGGTTGCTACCGCTTCACTCACAGTGTCGCAATGCAGATGCAACTTGTACACCTGGACGACTTTGCGGACTCGCTGCTTCGCCATAAGATGCATATTTAGGAGCAGTGGTCGCCACAGCTGCAGGTTCAGCACACGCACGCGCGCGTGTAATTGAACTGTGTTTGCATATCGTGTGGATCTGTGTGTGTGTGTGTGTGTGTGTGGATCTCTCTCTCTCTCTCTCTCTCTCTCTGTGGCACAAGCCGCGCTGCTTTGTCAATGTACACAACCGTCACTTGTATGTTGAGGATGAACGAACCACTTAAAAGGCAAAAGGCAAACAACACACAAACCAAGACAGAGGAAAGGCACACAGAGAACTGCACGAGCACAAGTAAACAAGAACAAACAAAAGCAAAGTGATTTCAGCACGTCAGCAGTTTGAGTCGTCGACTTCCTCCACGTAGTTGCCTGGGAACACGCCCTCCTTCTCTGTTCCAACGATGCGCCCAAGAAACCACCCGTCCTCATTCTTCAACAGCACCTCCACCTCTTGCTCCTCCTCCAGATCAAGCTCGTCAGGCGCCGTCGCAGTGTAGTCGTACTGCACAATGGCTGCAGCGAACAAGACAAGCATTGGGGGTGAGGCATGCGCGCGCTGTGCTTGCAAGCATGCATGGACAACCAATGTGCGGAACACCTGCACACAAAAAAAGGATACACAGACACAGGCACAGACAGACAGACAGACACACAGACAGACAGACAGGTACACACAGACAGACAGGTACACACAGACAGACAGACAGACAGACACATAGCATGTGCAAGAACAAACCTCTGCTGATGACGGTGCGAGGCCCACTGGGAGGTTTGGCGGTGGGCGGGGGAGGTGGCTGCGACAGCGGCGCGACAACGCCGTACACGTGATCCGAGTCATCGCCCTGCGCAGGGGGCGGTGGTGGTGGCGGCATGGATGCTGAGGATGGCACAACTGTTCCATACATGGAGTCGCTTGTATCTGAAGTCCAAGCATCGTTTTACCGCCGCGTGAGTGTGTGCATGGAACAAATGGAGGTTGGTAATGGTGAATCAGGTGACACACCCCAAAGCCAATTTCGCGCACACTGCACCCACAAACAGACACAAACAGACACAAACAGGCACACACAGACACACACAGACACACACACACAGACACACACACACACACACACAGAGACACACACACACACAAACCACACAAAACACTAAGCAGTGGTGACCAGGAAAGCACGCACCATCTTTGTCAATGTCAGTGTACAGCGGGTCATTGGAAATGGGCACGGATGGGGGTGCGCCTGGTGGGGGCGGGGGCGGTGCTTGGGTGGGCGCTGTTGGTGGAGGTGGTGGTGGTCCAGGCATAGACGGCGGAGGCGGTGGCGCCTGTGTTGGTTGTGTGGGTGGTGCAGCTGGCGTCGCTGGCGTCGCTGGCGTCGTGGGGATGCTGGGGATGGTTGGTGCCTGGGGCGCGGCCGGGGACACGGGTGCTTGCGGCACAGAGAGGGAGCCAAAGTCCTCATACAGGCTCTCTGTTGGTGCCATGCCCGTTGAACGGGACGTGATCTCCAGGGAGCCGTAAATGGAGTCGGCGCTGGGCATGGACGGCGCTGCTTGGCCCTGCGGTTGCTGCGGCGGTGCAGAGAAGAAGTCGTTGACAGGAGGGCCACCCATGGGCGGGCGCTGCTGCTGTTGCGGCGGTTGCTGCATCATGGCGTCCTTCACGCCCGTGCCCAACCCATCCAGCGCGTTGTAGTTGATGCCCATGTGCATGAAGCCGTTGCCTTGCAGCGGAGCCGTGTGTGGCGCTAAAGATGGCAGTGGCAGCGCACGAAGAGGCGAGGAAGCCCGCAAAGGCAAGGGGGGGGGGGAAACGAGGAGGGGCAGGACAGATACGGTGGTTTGAGTGCGAGGGCGAGGGCGAGTGCGAGTGCGAGGGCGAGTGCGAGTGCGTGAGATGACGTCCAGATTGAGAGGTGCGTTGTGGATGAGGAGGTACGAGCAAACACGAGACATGGGCAAAAGGGGCACGCAGTTCTTGACAGGGCTGTATGACACGCCAGAGGCAGTGCGTGCGAACGAGGGGGAAGGAGGAAGCGACTTACGTCTGATGCCCCAGTTGGGGCGCAACTGCTTCTCACGCTTTGCGGGCGCAAACTTGGAAAACTCCTTGCGGCCGCCCTGTGCTGCACACAGCTTGATGGGAAGCGGAAATGGCTGTCTCTGTTGTCACGCTGCGTTGAAACAGTGCAAGAGTAGCATCACCAAGACAAGCTGAACAGCAGAATGGGCGTTTACAACACGCACACGCACACACACGCCCACACACGCGTTTACAACACGCCCACGCACACACACGCCCACACACGCCCACACACACACACACACACACACACACACACACAATACCTCTCCAAGGGAGTAAACGGAGAGTGAGGCATGTTCGCAGTTGAGCAGCTGTTGGTCAAGTTGTCGGCTCTGTCATTGGCATGTTGCAAGCGAGGACAAATCGACGACGCGTTTGGCGCATCGTATGTGAGCGTACAAGAGAAGATTGCGCGAAACCATTTCGTGTGAACAGAAGGGAAGGATAGGGACCAGAGCAGCGGCGATTGTAGTGGAGCACTGCACCGCCCAACCACAACAACAGCTCAAAGGCGTCACGGTGAATATGCACGCAATGGCCAGCAGCACTGCTCACCAAGCCCTTTGCTGCACCGTTGACTTGAAAGGCGACGGCAGCCTGCGGCAAGTACAGCGCAGATGAGAGTGAAAAAAATGAGGAAATGCAGGACAAGGAAGGAAGGAAGGGCCTCAATGTCAGTTTCTGACACGCAAAGATGCAAGCACGCAGCACAACATACACACATACACAGAAAGATAGGCAGGCAGGCAGACAGACACAGACGCAGACACAGACACAGACACAGGCAGACATGCACAGACACAGACACAGACACATGCACACAGAAACACACATACACAGACAGACAGAATCACACATACACAGGCAGACAGACAGACAGACACATACACAGACACACAAAACAAAACAAGCAAGATGAGATTGCTTGCAAGCACGCAAAACACAATCAAGACGCAAAGTCGCCCGAAACAACAAAGGCAGCCCGGAATTGCCCCTCTTGGTAGTTACATACCAGTGCATCAACAGCGTATTTCTTGCTTTGGTCCAGAGGATCGGAGCTGGCGCCCTCAATGTAATCTGCCAGCTCCTTCAGGCTCTGCGCACTCTTGCGCAGCGGTTCCACAAACCCATCCATATCCGCCCTCTCTGGTTCCAGCTTGGTGTGCCTTTGTTTGCCGAATTTTAATGCACAACTTTCTCTAACATTCGAAATAAGCAGGTAACACATTTTGTCATGTCGCAGTGGCGGCAGCAGCGATGCATTTGCGTCTGTCCACCACCATCCATCCTCCGTCCTCCATGCTCCTCGTTCTCCTCTCCATGGTTCATCTCCAAGGTGTCTCTAGTTTGGTCCTCTTCACAGGGCTGTGCTTCGGGTTGGCATAGTCCTGCTTGCCGCCCTTGCAGCGTGGCTCATGCGCCTGGGCGGGGACGCCGGCGCTGGCTTTTGTTCCTGCTTCTGTTGCTGCTGCTGCTGATGATGATCTTCGTCATGGCGGTGGCGGTGTTGATGATGGTGGTGTTGATGGTTGCCGCCGTTGCGACCGTGCTGGTCTTGCTGGTCCTTGGTGTTGCCAGAGCTGTGAAGCAAGCGCATGGTGTTGGCATCGAGTGATGCGCCGAGCACCGTTTGCGTGTGTCTGCGCTCAACAACGCCACACGATGCGTTGCTGGTGCGGGCAGGCACCGCAGGCCGCTCCGCAGCGCTCGTGTGAGTGCGATTCCTACTATCAAGCACAAAAAAACAAGGGCCCACCATGTGTGGAATGCATGTATGTGTGCGTGTGTGCGTGTGAGTGGGATGATGAGGGAAACAAACCAAAATGCTGCCAATGACTCTGAAGCGCGAGCAGGCCGACATGGCACACATACTCACACACACGCAAGTTCACAAACATTCAAAAGCATTCATAACCAGTCACACAAACATTCAAAAGCATTCACACACACATGGACACACACACAGACAGACACACACACACACACACACACACACACAGACAAGAGTCTCACCTGCCGCGCTCACGACTCGCTGGGCGAATAACATAGCCCGTGTGTTTGCTTGCAATGCGATGGCTGAGGTGCTGCTCAAGCTGGTTGATGAAGGTCTGGCTGTTCCCCTTGCTTGCCGCTGCTGTTGTTGCCATTGCTGCTTCTGGTGCTGTCGCACGCGGCACAGACACGCACGTGTTGGAGTCGCGCTTGGCCCTCTGCACACTCAGGTGCTGTTGCGACGTTCCGGGCGGGGTCCGTGCAGCTGGCTTGCGGCTATCAGTGGTAAGTGTCGTCGTCGTTGTGGCGGTGTCGGTGCTGGGAGTGGTGTGTGTGGACTGTGTGAAGTGTGTGGCCTGTTGCTTCTGTTGTTGAGAGACCAAGTCCTTATCGCCGTTTGTGGCGTTGCTGCTCCCTGTGCTGGTTGTGCTTGCGCTGCTCTTTGTCGACGGGCTTCGCTGACTCGCCAACGACGCGCCACTCGCCTGCGTTTGGGTGCGTCGTGGCGGCTGCTGCTGCTGCCGCTGTTTCTGCTCGTGCTGGTGGTGGGGTGTGGCCATGGACGCGTCCAGCGACATGTGGCCTGCATCCTCACGCAATACGCTCTCCTCTGGCTCCTGTGGTGACGTGCGTCCGCTCTCACGTGCCATAATCTTGCTGAACAGCGACATCTCACCGCTACGAGACGACGGTGTGCGAGTTGGCTGCTGCTGCTGCTGCTGCTGCTGCTGCACGGACATGTGTGTCGCTGTCGTGCTGCTGCTCGATGTCCTTGATGCTGGTGGGTGTGCTGTCGACCCTGCAGACGCTGCCGTCTTGCTCTGGCCGTGTACAACTTGCAGTGCGCCGTTGCTCGCGCCCCGCACAAACGCACTGCTACTTCCACGTGATGTTCCGCGCGATGTTGGCCGGCGCACAGGGCACTGGTGAAGGCGCCTGGGCATTGTTGCGGATCCAGTCGTCGAGGCCGTCGTGCTGCCGCTGCCGCCGCTGTTACCAGAGGTGGCCGTGCGCTCTGCAACCGCTGCCTGATAGCTGTGGTGGCGGCGCTGCTGCTGATGTTGCTGTTGCTGATGTTGTTGCTGCTGTTGTTGCTTGTGGTGAGATGGGTCATGTGCCTGTGGGCTGGTATCGTCGTTGTTCGTGGTGGAGGATGTCGAGTATGTGAGCGACACGGCTGGGGAGCCAACGCGGCTGCCGAGTTCAACCTCCCCACGATCCATTGCCTCAAAGTCGGCGTCAATCAGGCGAAGGCTGGATGAACTGCACCCCGGCTCCCACTCCCTCATGCGCGCGGAGCACGCTGGGTTGGCCAGCACCGCCCGCGTTGCTGCTGGCTTTGTTGAGCTGGCAATGGTGGCTGCTCTTGTACGCGAGCGACCGTCACGCTCTCTGCTGGTATCACTGCTACTGTCTCGCCCGTTGTTGTGTTGATGTCGGGCATGAGCGCCGTCGCTCGTGTGCTGTTGCTGCTCGCCATGCGTGCGCAAGTCAATGTCTTCCACTGCTCGCACGTCTTCTTCATCCTCATCCAGACTATCGTCGTCGTCGCTGTGTGTTTCTGTTGGGAAGCAGGAGCGACGCCTGTTGTGTGAGCATTGAATCGGCTCACACATGCAGCGCAAGCAACGCTCGTACTGGGGCACCGCAGACGTTCACACATACAACCACAAACAAACAAACAAACAAACAAACAAACAAACACACAAACAAACAAACAAACAAACAAACAAACAAACAAACAAACAAACAAACAAACAAACAAACAAACAAACAAACAAAACAAAACAAAACCAAATAAAGCAAAACAAAGCAAACAAACAAACATGCGCACCTTGCAAGTGGTCGAGGAGACGAGCGAGTTTCTTCTCTGACGGGCCGCTGGTGCGCGTGGAGGCGGCATTGGACAAGCTGAACCGTTTCAGCATGCGCGGCGTATGGGGCCTGCGTGTTGACATTGGTATTGGCGTGGTTGTGTGTGGTTGTGTGTGTGGGGGGGGGGGGGTCAGGATGGTGAGATGGACGACAGGGAGTGGAATGAAGGCAAGAGATGTGACAACCAGACAATGGCAATGGCACAGAGTGGCAGATACAAACAGATGGACGCAAGCTGATAGCCATCCCTGCCCACGCACCAGCTCCCACACCCATTCACACCGTACCTGAGGCGGTTTCGGCGGGATGATTTACTACGTTCACTGACATCGCCAATGCTGTGGCGCGTTGCAGGATCAAGCTCCTCCACCGTGCACAATGGCTCGTCACCATCGTCGTCGTAGCTGTCACCACTATTGACGTGCATCGTGGTGTGTATGTGTGTGTGTGTGTGTGTGTGGGTGGGTGGGTGTATGGGTGTGGGTGGGTGTTAATGGGTTGTGGAGTGACGATGAAAGAACAAAACAAAGTCAACAAGAGCAGGTTGTGCTCCCCACATGGTCACATCTCTTCGTCACATGGTTCAAGCTATCTTCAGCAAACCAAACATCAGCCACATTCAAGTGCATACGTTTGGCTGGTGCGGCGACGGTGCCGGAAACGGGACATGGGTGATGATTTGCGACGAGTGGCAGCGTTGCGAACAAGCCGAGCAACCGTGCCTAACGCGTGGTCGAGAGGGAAATGCGATGATTCAAGCATTGATGAGGTGACAAGCGAAGACGCACAGGTGGCAAGCACGAACAATCCGGAAAACGCAGATACGCACACACACACACACAGGCACACACAGATACACACACACAGACACACACATACACACAGTTTCACACAGACACACACAAGAGAACTAACGCAAAGGCGAACCTGCTGTGGAGGAGGCGGAGAACGAGGAGCGGCGCCGTGATCGCGGACTGGCGTCCGATTCAGACGAATAGTCGTGCGTTTGCTGCTGCTGCTGCTGTTGCTGATTACCATGGTGGTGATGCAGTGAGGACGCGTACTCCACTGCCACCAGCGTGTCGTCGTGTTCGTGACTGTCGCTCCCATCCTGCTGTGTCCAGTCGCTGCTTTGTTGCTGCATCGCATACTGCTCCCAATCATCCCCATGCATGCCGCAGAGGCGGTTGCGGTGTTCCCGCGATCCTCGGGTGCGCCGCAGCACACCGTCCTCAGCGGCCATCACGTGATCGCCACCGTGGCCCTGCGCTCCATGTGCACTGGGGGCGCTGTCGCCATCCAATGGCCCATCCTCATTGTCGTCGTCGTCGTCATCGTCATCATCGTTGGCATGCAGCATGTTCTTGTCGTGATCAAGCGAGGACGACGGAACGGGGTCGGGCACGGTTGTGTCTTCGTACAGCTTGTCAATGTACTTGTGGCGAATAAACTCGTTTCGCGCTCCCTGCAAGGTCATGGGGCAGTAGTGGTGGGGGTGATAACGAGGTGAGGAACACTCGGGAAAGAACGAAGAGTTGTAGCGACGTGACGTGACGTGATGTGCTGTGACACACGGTGGAACGCTGTTGAACGGCGCGGATCCTGGTGTACACACAATGCATGGGTTTGTGTGACAGCAATGGAGATGGTAAGATGTCCACGTTGTACAGAGACTGTTACACACCTTTGGCGTTGCAGGGGTTGGCTTCTGGTGCCCCGCCTCCTGCAATCTCCCCTCGTAGCGCGCGTTGAAGCGGTCGTTGCCAACTTGTTGCATGAACTGGATTATGAAACAGGGAGAGAGGGAGGGGGACAGTGTGTGTGTGTGTGTGTGTGCGTGCGTGCGTGTGTGTGTGTGTCTGCATGAGTGAATGGGGCACTTGCTTGTTGCAATGATGTTTGAGCACCACAAGTATTCGGCGCACTGCGTTGAGTCTCACCTCGAGGGTGTCTTGTGTCCAGCGGTCCAGGTGGACAGATCGCACTTTGGAGATGTGCACACCTGCGATTGCAGTCAACAAACCAAAACCGGAGCGTATCACGTTGTGTTGTTGTTGTTGTTGTTGTTGTTGTTGTTGTTGTTGTTGTTGTTGTTGTTGTTGTTGTTGTTGTTGTTGTTGTTGTTGTTGTTGTTGTTGTTGTTGTTGTTGTTGTTGTTGTTGTTGTTATTGTTGTTGTTGTTGTTGTTGTTGTTGTTGTTGTTGTTGTTGTTGTTGTTGTTGTTGTTTTGTGCGGATGTGTGAGTGTTCAAAGCACGCACTTGGGGGGTTCCGTCACCATGTCAAAACATATACACGCGTGAGACATGTTCCAAACACAAGGGTGGTCGGTGGTGGTGGTAGTGAGCACGAACCAAGGCTGCGGTGGGTCCCACTGCATTCAATGCACAGGAGGATGCCGAGGTTGATGCTCGCCCATTCAGTATCTGCGGCACCACAATCCGCGCAGTGGTCGTTGCCTACACAGTGGTGTGCGCGTGTGTTGTGGGGGTGGGAACGGGTTGCATGGTGGTGCGCATACATGCATGAATGGATGGATGAATGTATGCGTGAATGGATGGATGAGTGGATGGATGAGTGAATGGATACAAAAGTGGATTTGGAGAAGGACATATGCATGTTGTAGCGAGGTGACAAGGGGGAGCGGGAGCAGGCAGCATGAAAGAACGGCACTTGCTGGTGCTTCACGGACGCATCGTGCACCTGGAATGGATGCAAGGAGCGCGACGGGGTCCTGCGTGACTTTGTCGTCCTTGTTGTCCTGTACAACCAGCAAAACGGCCAAAACACCGTGAGTATTTGTGGTTATCAGCAGGGCATGTCTATGGGCTTGAACGAGAAACGAAAGAGACAGGTTTGGCCACACGAACGAGACAGAGAGACAAAGGGAGATAGATACACACAAACACACACACATATGTGCATGGGCTTGTGGAAGGGGTTGCATGGTACGACATGGATACGAACCGCATTGCCGGTGTCCAGGGCGTCGGCGATGCCCTGCTGCAAGGCAAGCAGCCACTCGTTGTACTCCTTCGTGCCCAGCGCCTGTGTTGGTCGTGTTGGAGTGTACATGTGGAGGGTGATACCGGGTGAGATGACGCGTGTCAGGCGGATGGAAATGCACACACACAGATACACACACATACACACGCACACATATACACACATATACACACATATACACACATATACACACATATACACATGTTTGTGCGCACGTACACGCATACACATACACATATACACGCTCATGTACACGAACAAAACCAGACACGTACTTGGAGGAGGAGGACGCTGGAAGGAGTGATGATCTTGAGGCAGTGGTGGCGGTCATCTGTGGTGTTGTCTCCGGCGCGAATGGTGGCGAGCAGCAGGTTCACTAGCGTCTCTGTGGCGCCTGGTGTCATGTCCAACGCAACAACGATTGATAAAACGACGGAGGCGGGGATGACACATGGCATTGAATGGTGAGCTGACGTGAGTATTGAAAGACGACTGACGTGACAGGAGACGCGCATCTGGTGTAATGTGGCGCAGGCATGTGCTGTCGCATTGTAGCCATGTATCAATGACACCACGAGCTCTTCTCATTCTTCTCATTCTTCTCATGTGAGTGCTTGCACAGATGGCAGATGCAAAGTGTACACGAAACACCGACCATTGTCGCCGACGCGAACGAGGCAGTGGTTTTCAATGGCCAAGAAGTCCAGTCGCCACTTCTTGTCGACACGTCTGGAAATGCAAAGAGTTGGGGCATGGTGAGAAGCTTTGTGAGATTCAAAACAGATGGGGAAGCGTCGGCACACAAACACTATGTTCAGGTCGCAAACAACTCCCCAAACACTGAAAAACATTAAAACACACAAATACACAAACAAACACGCAATATACACAAACAAACATGCACATACGCACATTTACACAACCAAACGCACACACACATGCATACCGAAACATGTATCCGCGCTTGTCCTTGATGATTTGCGTTGGGGGCGCTGCTTCGGTTGCGTCATCGCTCGGTTGGTCCTTGAGGTGGATGGTCAGTCCATGTACATCCTTGAGTTCCTCCACGGGCTCGTTTGTGCCCCGGCGTCGCGACCGCCGCCACTGCTTGCTCGCACTGCCACGTATTGTCGTTTGTGACGTTGTGTGTGTGTGTGTGTTGATGCGTGTGTTGCATGCAAACGTGAGGTTGTATCATTGTTGCAAATACTCAGCAAACCCAGTAAACAAGGGACACATGCCAGAAGCAAAGTAGATGGACAGACGGGTAAATATACAAAACAGGACAGGCCAACTATCCACGCAACTGCACGCACAAGCACACACGCAGACCCGCGCGCAACACAGATACACACGCACGCATACGCACGCAGACACAACGGTAAGTGCCACAGAAGACACGTGGTCTTGTTTGTGTACGCACCTGATCTTGCGGGAGATACCGCGCCGTGGAGAAGTGTCCTGCTTGCGAACAGCCCGCTTTAGCGTTGCAGACAACCCGTGGCTGTGGGCACACAAGGTAATAGCGTGAGGTGTAGGTTGAGGGCAAGAAACGCCACGAGGCAAACAAAGTTGTGTGGTTGTGATTGTGTGAAGAAGGGATGTATTGAGGGAGAGTGTCGACATCACTTGCGAGTCATGGAAATCTGTCGTGAGAGGCATATATGAACAAGCACAAATTGACACGTGTGCGCGGATACACGCTCACGTGCGTGACACTCAGATCAGCTATCCATCAGGGCGTCAAACCTCTTCTCAAATTCGCGCGGGATGAAGGCGACCTCTTGATCGTAGCAGGACAGAATCTGTTACACATGCAACGAACCGGTGCAGCAGCGTGAAGGTGTGTGTGTGTGTGTGTTTGTGAGTGAAAGAGAGAGAGAGAGTGTGTGTAAATGAGAGAGAGAGAGTGTGTGTGTGTGTGCCAGTGAGTGTGGTGAAGGTGGTTTGCATGCGTGCACAAGCTCGGAAATTGTTCGCAAAGCGTTGGAGACTCTTGCTTCAACCATGTATGCATGCACCCACGTCTTGTCGCAGTCTCTCCAGCTTTTGCAGTTCAATCGTGTGCGCGCCCTGTCAAGAAGTAGATGTGAAGAGGGTGAGTGGGTGAGTGAGTGAGGAATGAGTGAGTGAGTGAGTGAGTGAGTGAGTGAGTGAGTGAGTGAGTGAGTGAGCGAGTGAGTGTGTGAGCGAGTGAGTGAGAGTGTGTGTGTGTGTGTGAGTGAGTGTGTGAGAGAGGGAGAGAGAGAGTGTGTGTGTGTGAGTGAGTGTGTGTATGTGTGTGGGTGCGTGCGTCCATACATATTTGGAGTGTGTTGCATGCAGTATTCTAGCAGGGTGAACCGGGCCAGGCCACGACACAAAGACCATCACGGCATTTGCCTTTCTCCGCTTCGATCAGGACGCACGCGCAACCCTCTCACCTCAGCACGCAGCTGCACATTCTGCATGATTTCGTGGCGTGCATCCATCTTTTGCATGTGCTTGTCAGCAATGCTGGCGCCCTTGTTAAAGAACGCTGCTTCTGCGGTCACCGCCTTCATCATCTCCAGCACCACGTCAACCTTAAGCAGGGGGTGGGAGGGTGTTTGCGTTAGTGCGAATGTGAGCAGTACGAGAGGAAGGAAGAGAGGGGAGGGAGAGAGGAAGAGAGGGGAGAGGAAGAAAGGAAGAGAGGAAGAGAGGAAGAGAGGAAGAGAGAGTATGTGTGTGTGTGTGTGATAGAAGCCAAAGGGTATTTGGTGCTGTGAGGGTTTTCACAGCCATGTCGAGCATGCACACGTGTCGCACCTTTGTGAGTGACATGACTTCGTGCAAGACATCGACGCAATTGATGGCGGTGAGGTGCGCCGCCTTCTTGTGTGCGTACGCTTTGTGGCTCCGGCGATGAAAGTCCTCAGACTAGTGTGGTGTGCGACGAGTGTTTGAGTTAGAGATTGCGAATGTATGGATGAGGACGCGCGTGAGTGTGGCACGTTGTGCGCGTGCGTGGAAGCGAAGGCGGAGTGTTCACGAGGAAAAGAGGTTTGATTATGAACAGCACGCGATTAGCACAACCAACACAGTGGGCTGTTGTGATGGTGTACAGTTGGTGGTTGTGCAACAGTCACACTTTGCGACGCTTTTGTGACTCACCGCAGACTTGTCATCTCCAAAGCCGGTTGCACAAAACTTTGTCATGGTGGTGGTGTACTTGTTGTGACTCTGGATCATTTGCTCCTGCAAATTGCGTGTGAAACAGAGAAGAAGGGAGATGGAACGAAACAAGACCGCTGTCAGTGACAAGGGTTGTTCATGCAAGACACAACAGGGGCAAGCACACACACACACACAAACAAACAAACAAACAAACAAACAAACAAACAAACAAACAAACAAACAAACAAACAAACAAACAAACAAACAAACAAACAAACAAACAAACAAACAAACAAACAAACAAACAAACAAACAAACAAACAAACAAACACACACACAGCGGCACACCTTGCAGTCCGTGAGGGTCTTGAACTTTTGGGCAATCTTGTTGAGTTTGACATCCACAATGTCATACATCTATGCAATGAATACCCAAGTGGTGGAATGCGGGTGAGGCAATGGTTGTACCAAGAAGAAGAAGTGCAAAAAGACATGTGCTACTGTGTGTGTGTGAGTGAGAGAGAGAGAGAGAGAGACAGAGAGAGAGAGACAGAGAGAGAGACAGAGAGAGAGAGAGAGAGAGAGAGAGAGAGAGAGAGAGAGAGAGAGAGAGAGAGAGAGTGTGTGTGTGTGTGTGTGTGTGTGTGTGTGTGTGGGAAAGAGTGGCACACGTGGCAGCATGTGCAAGGGGGCGTACCATGGAAGTGCTTTCCACGAATGCGTGATCGAACTGATGGGTTAGGCGGCGGGTCAGAACCGAAGGGATGGGGAGGAGGATGAGAAGACCGTCAAGCATGAACACAGCGCCGGCGCATGTTTGGGGTGTGGGTGTGTGCATGATACAGCACATCCAATTATATCGCACATCAAGCATCCACATGCACTTGCAGACGTAAAGCAACACACATCCCGCCACACACACACGCACGCAT